GGGGGGGGGTTGAACAGACTCTAGCAGATCCATACAATGAAATAATACCATTCAGCAATAAAAAAGTATTAACTATTAACATGTGCAACGATCTGAGTGAACCTCAGGGGCATTACGCATAGTGATAAAAGCCAGTTCAAAAAGGTTAGGTACTCTACAATGCTTGGTTCCATTTATATAACATTGTCCAAGTGGCAAAACTCTAGAGACCGCGAACAGATCAGTGGTTGCCTGGGGTCATGCGCAGAGAGAAGGGGGTGTGGGCCCCTAACTACAGAGATAGCAGAGGGAGTTAGTTCCTCTGTGTTGATGGGACAATTCTGTATCTTGACTGTGGCATTACAAGAATCTAGACATGGGATAAAATTGCATACAGCTACACACACACGTAAGTGAATGCAGGTTTAAAAGCGATTTAAAAATAAGGTCTGTCGTGCAGCTAACGGTAACGTGCTGATCTCCGTCCATTTCCTGATCTTTAAATCGTATTACAGTTACATAATACGTCATCGCCGGGAGAAGCTGGGGTACTAATTTTGCACATTCCTGTGAATCCATAAGTATTTCCAAAAAAAAAAAAAAAGTTTAATTTTTTTTGTATTGGCAGAACAAAACCATCTTCGCCAAAGACCTTCCCGCCACACAGGGTGGCTCTCCGGCGCTTGCTTTATCCGCAATAACCTACTTCCTATCTCTGCTCCCCAGACACACAACATACTATCCTTTTGAAAAGTTTGCAGCGGAACGCAAGGTGTCTTAGGCCGGGACGGCAGGAGAGCTGCACGCACACAGCTCCCGAGGACACCTGCACGCCAGGTCCGCCAGCCCGCCCTGCGCTCCCCGGGCGGTACCAGGGACGGACCCATCGGGACCAGTGTTTCCGAACCACTCGGGGGTCGGTCACACCCGTGGTGGGCTCTGTCCCTGCGCCCCTGCAGTGCCCGTTTCCTAAGAATACTCCTTTATACAATCACAGTGGCGCTATCAACTCCAGGCAGCTAAACATCGATTCAGGACTTGAACCCATCATTCCTGCTCCACGTTTTCCAGTGGCCCCAATATTCTCCAGCGCAGAGTCCAGCGCGGGGTCAGGCACCGCCCTTAGCGGCCCAGTCGCTTCGAGAGCCTTGGGAGACCCGGCTGTGCCAACCACCTCCCCTCGGCACGGGCACCCGGAATTCTCTCCGCAGGCTGCGACGCCGGCAGTTGCCCCACCTGTCTCTTTGTGAGCGGAGGCGCCTTCACGATCTGAAAGAGCTAAATGGAGTCTTTCCCGCCTGCATCATTATCCCCCAGAAACGGCCCGTCGCGGGCTGGGGCGCAGGAGCCCGGCTTCGGTGTTCGCCGCCAGCCTGGGGCAGCGACTCGGGGCGGCGGAGTCCGGCCAGTGGGGAGAGGAAGGAGGGATCGGGAAGAAACCCTCCGAGAGCGAGGAGAGCGAGCGGAGCGCAGGTCCCCGCTTCCACCCCCTCACCTGGAGCGCCCGGCGGCCAATCAGCGGCGCCGCCAGGTCCCCGCGGCCAATGGGCAGGC